TGTATTAAACATTTTCAATCAAATACAATGACTTCAAGTTGCCTGCCCATTTTTAGTTTTTAATACTTCTACTGTACGAAAATTAGTGTGTTTTCCTTGCTATGATACCTCTTTTCACATCAAGCAGTTTAAATTATAACTGTGGTTTTTTATTAGATTTTAGTTTGTGAATAGTGTCTATTTATGAAATGGAACATAATTTACAAACCACTTTCTTCTACATATCTCGTTTGAGCCTGACATGAACTCTGTGAGTTACATATAAACACATAGAGGGTTTATAAGCCCTATATGAGGATAAATCACTAAGCTATTTAATGACCTACTCATGGTTCCCAAGTTGTTCTTTCTGGCCACTTTCCTTTCTACAACACTAGGTGTTTTCGCAAAGAGCATTTGAAAACAAAATCACCTGGAAAAAGAATAAAGATAAGCATATGTTATTACTTTTCTAGGAACAGAAACTATTTTAATATGCCAACAGACCTAAAGACAAAAGCCACTGATTAAATAAGGGATCCATTAAGTTAAGGTCAGACATGCTTGCTCCTACAGAATTTGCTAATAATCCTTGTAGACAAAGTCAGCTGAGGGATGTTAGCCATTACTTCCACAACCTGCTGGAAAAGTACCAGGAAACCCACTCAGTGAAAAGATGATTTATTTGTATATTATTTTTTCTGAAAAGATGACAAAATAGTTCCACTATTCTGGCACTAATGTTTTTGCTTTTGTGTTAGTGATATTCTCTCTATATAGGAAATGAGAAAACATCTCAACCATGGACTGTTGATACAAAGAACTCTGCAGGAAAACGTCTTTGTGATGGTACTCCTTGAAAAACTAATCAAGTGCTTTATGAAAATATCATAAATCTAATTTTTCTAGAAATTAGATTTATATGCAATAAACAAAATATCTCTAAGTGTCCCATATTTTTATGCCAATAACGAAATGTTTTTTGTTCAGATATTTTTACTAGTTTAGTTCTAAGGGCATAAACCTCTACTTGGTAGAAAAAAATGGACACATATTTGCTATGGATCTGGTTACAAAAAAAACTATCTGTTACTAGATCTTTCTTTATTCGGACTCACAATCAACCTTCTCAAAATCGACCTTTGAAGTATGACCTTCTCCAGGTTCTGCTGTATTCAAGGGCACAATTTAAACAACTTTTAACTCTAATTATCTTTATAGTTCTTGCATGACAATGTCATTGTAGTTGGGTCTCCACCCAGAAATTCTAAGGCAACAAATTTATAAAATTCTCTATATATCCAATCAAAATTTGTATCAGTTTTACTTTATGAGACAAGCAGCTTCATGGATTTATAAAGCATTGAAACGACACTCATCTCAAATAATAGCCTATATCCATTTTCATGTATAAGAGCTCAGCACTTCCCCTAGAAATAAGCTGACATCACCTTGGTTAAAGATCCAGAAGAAAATATAGCTTATGGTGAATTCTTAGACAACTTTTGCAAACATAGGCAGCATCTTGGCATCTTAAAAAATGATAAAGCTTTCTCTAAAATATTCAAATACACTAGACTTCTTTTAATGTCTTAAAGCTTGTTAGTAGAGAGGAAAAAACAACTCTTCTATCACTTTGGAAAATACCAGCTCTCAGATCTTCTTTATAAACAGTTGTTATGTATCTTAGGAAACCAGAGACTTGGAATATTATTTCTTTATAGTTGAGTTTTAGATTATAAATCCAAAATCCTTTACGAATGAGGATTTTCCCGTCAAATGCTTGGTGTAATATTCCATAAGGAAAGAATTATGTGCCCTTTTTTAAATGAAGAGAGATGCAGAACAATGAACAATCTGTTTCATGAACACAAGGTTATATACTATGCTTAACTAACCACTGCACCAGTTGCACAGTACTGCTTCTCTTTCTAACTGCTGCACTCACTCCACTGGTGAAGAGATAGACAAGCTTCATCAAATTTGTTGATTCCCAGTGTACTCAATTTACAGCTTAAAGAACATCATATTGTGGCTATTAAATTATTTTTAATGTAGTCTTGTCTTTCTCTATGGTCAAGTGTCTCTTTCTTACAAAGGGGACAAGAAAGGGCTGATTAAAATTCTTGCCTGGTTCATCTACCTGTACAGGTTGGCAAAGAACAATTTATAGTAGAGGGATGACAAAGACACCTATCTGGTTAAAAATAACATAAAATGTTTACTTTAGAAATGGCTGGTTTTGAATATTTTGCAGGGCAATAGCTGATAATACGAAAATAATAGTAAATTGGGAAAGTGGTAACTCGCAAAAGTTTTAAAACTCTTACAGAGAGACCCACATGCTCAACTCTTGACATTTAGTATTTTCTCTGCGAATCCTTGATTTCTTATCATCATCAGACCAAGACAAACATTTTGTTCTCTGGATTATTTTTGATAAATTTTTCAAAGGATCTTTCTTTTGCTACCCTGTTAGGTAACCTTGTACCTAATCACAGCTAAGAGTCTCAGGTAATGCCAACTTCATAAGAAGTAAGTGAGGAGACCAATAGAAGGTGGTTAAACTCTCCAGATTCCAATAAAGTCATTGCATCCCTTGGTGATAATATCAGAAGATCTTTAGCTGTGTTAGTGTCTCTGTGAGGGTTTCCTATGATATAACATTATAGGAAATGAGCTATGTGGTTGGAGGCAAATTTGGTCACAGAGGTATCTGAGGCACTGAGTTACAGCAATGTAAACATCAAACCAGTATAAATACTCCGGAAATGGTTTCTATATCAGAAAGGAGCTTCATGTACATTTTCAACATTTCTCCTAAATACAGTATGTTTTACTAAAGCATTGGGAGATACTTAGTAACAGGACATATCTTAGCTAAAAATACATGCTGTTGTGGGGTAAGTTAGGGGATTTGGAAATCTTTAAAGTAGTCTGTATACTTTATGGCACCAGATAAATTTGAAATTGTAAAATGAATTATACAGAACTATTAATCCTGAAATAATGAGAGAAATAATTTCTAATAATGATTACATAGAATCTGGGGTCAGGTGTCAAACTTTATGGATAAATTGTTTTTTAGATCAAGCATTTATTTATAAGTAGAACAATATTTTAAATCAATTTTGTCACTTCTCATTCCTTTTGAAATTATTACCCAATAATTGTTACTTTTACAGGAATACCCCTGTAATTATAGGTATCATCACCCTCTGCTTCATGCTACAGCTATCAAATAATGATCTTAAAACAGACCCTGAAAAAACACTCATTAAATAACTGACAGTGACAGAATCTTGGCATAAGTAAATCAATCATATAACTGAAAATGAATAGAAACAAAAAGATATATCAAAACAGAATACTTTTAGAGTTTTATAAAGGCTTCACATTCCTGATTAAGGAAATGCAGGGGACATTACAATTTGAATCCAAAGAAAAAATTGATATAATGACCACAAAAGTTCACCAAAATTTGCCACAGCAGTGGCAATATAACTTGTTCCTGCTCACTTTCCTCCCAGAAGAAACATCTTAAATGTTAGCTTACAGTTTTCTATCTTCATGGCACAGGCACTGAGATAATGAAGAGCATCCCAGAGGAAACAACATGGGAGGGAATACCCAGCCACGATCCATCTTAGAACCTGTTGCGATGCTGCAGAAATCAGAGGAGCTGCCCAATTAATGCTGAGAATTTCATCGGGGACTAACAGCATGAAAGCTTTCAAATTATTAATAATTTGATTCATGGCACATTTATGGGTCTAGTCCATCCTAAGAACATTACAAAGAGACATTTCCTTGTATCTGTCTGTGTTTTTGAAACTGAATCAATACCAGATAGAAGTTGGTTGAGGGAAGCTGAATGATGGAATGGGATTTTTAGGGTCTTCAATGTGTATAACTTCACAAAAAATATGCACAGAGTATGAAAAAAGTAGGTTTGATGGGAAAAAAATTATAGGACAAGGAAACAGCCTGTCAAAAAATTGTATGGTCATAATTTAAAAAATGAAAATATATTGTCTTTCTTATTGGTAAAATTGACTGAAATAAATAATATTTTGATAGGAATGGCTTGTGTTTATCAGAAACTAAGATCAAAAATTAATGTAATGTTAGTTTAGACACAAGGACAGAATAGGCCAATGAAAAATGATTTTGTTATTATTTTTTAGAAAGAAAAGGAAGCTTTACATTTAAAAAAAATACTGGCCAGTTTTTTGGTGAGATAAGATATAGGTCCTTCCTCACCCAACCCCCCAAATACAGCTCAACTATAGGTGTTTTGCCTTTGGCAAAATAAAATCTATTGTAATATAGAATGAGGTATTATCAATTTTTATGTGATTAATGACATGAAAATTCAGAGTGACCACAGAATTGATCCATGATTGTTCCAAAGTTACTGATCAACAAAGTAACACACCTGCAATTCTGCAGCTGATTCAAAGTCAGGAATGGGTGGGATTTGGAGGGAAGAAATATGATTTAGAGTTTCCAGTGCTTTTGTAAACTAAAAGGAAACCTGCAATAATTGTCACTTTTTTTTTCATATCACCATAAAATATTTATCTAAAAAAAAGTTTTCCTTGACTGCATTTTAAAAGAGATTTAATAAACCGTAACTGTTAATTTCTCCTTGTGACTATTTTATCAACATGTGCTAAGAAAAAACGAAATGTGAAGCTGAACACCAAACCGATTTCTAAAATTTTGTTTGAATTGGAAACCTCTGGAGTTCTCTGAATACCAGCTGATAATGTCAGCTTCTAATTGGCTTGAGTAAAATTTGGCTAAGTAACCCTTCCAGACATCTCTAACAGATACATTGAATTTCAGCTGTACAAATGCCAATTTCTCGTACTTTCATTTTTTTTCCCAGGGTATTTGTCTTGTACTTTGTCATTTACAGTCCTGTTCTTGTCAATGTGCTATATATTAAGAATATAAAGATGGCATTATGACACTATCTCCTGCATTTTAGCAGAAGTGTGACATTTACTTATTTGTAACCTTATCAGTAATCTATTCATTCTAGTACAGCTTATTGGGTGTACATAGTATGTCATTCTTAATTAGCCAAATAGAATTCTTCATTGTGTATGCATTTTTAGTTAATACGTTTTCCCCAATGCAAATCTAAAAGTATACATCTGATTCAATATAAGAAGTAAACCCAACCTTTTAGAAATTCTTATTTCTGTGTTCTCCCTTCAGTAGCCCACCCTTTTCTCCAATGTGACAGATAACTTGTTCTGATTTAAAACTCACTGATATTTCTTCTTGTATGTTGTCTTATATACTCATTTTCTCTATAAGAAAAACAAATTGAGTATCCATGATGATGAGATCACATGTGGGAAATCTTTGATCTTGTTTGAAAGGGTCTCGGGAATAACTAGTCAATTCTTTTGAACACTGTTGACTATCCTGGTTTCTTAAAATAGATTTTCTGGCAGAAAAAGAAAGACATGCCATTGTGCATGGTTTACTCAACGACAATTGTGTGGTTTGTCATTGTTTATAAAAGTAATATTTTGGTGGGGTTCTTGATGTTCAGTTTCTATTTAGAGTCTAGCAGACACATTTCTTCTCTGGTGGCTTTTCCCCATCCAACTTTCCAGAATTTCCACCATTGACAGTATCAGGGATTTGTGTCTTCTCCACACACTGTTCCATTCGCTTCATGATTAAGTCCAAAAGGGTTTCTACAGCTTTCTCCACATTCTGTCCAGTTGCTGCACTTGTTTCAAAATATGGTATGCTAGCATAGAAAGGATGACAAATATTTTTGAAAGAAAGAAATCAGAACAGATACAGCAAGATGTACAAGTGAATCACACATGCAAAAACAGCTGGCTGAGAGATTGTGAAATAATTATGGTTTTGCTGGCTAAGTTGGAAAGCATCCTTGTTTTTTCCTCAGTGAGTAAAAATTGGTGAGCTGCTCTTTATTATGATAATAACCAGTTTTACGGGCAAGGAAATTGACACAAGAAGTAGTCAGGAAGTTGAAGCCAAGGCATTATCACTGCTTAAAAAATTAGGAGGGGAAAAATACCCCCTGATCAATAAAACTACTGACCAACATTACTATTAAAATACTGCTTCCCTTCCACTCAATTATCTAGAAATCTGCTTTAAAAATAGGTAGGCATTGAATAAGGATATTCATGTGAATACAGTCAATGCTTATTTGGATTTAAAAGTTTCAAGAAGACATGTAAATTGTACAGCTTTCAGAGAGAATTCTTCCATAAAAAAATGGCAGATATGATAAAGCTACTTTAAATTTAAAAAATAATGACAGATTCTGCTGCGGAAGTCAATTTACAGTTACATGGGGTGCTGTTTCTGTTGTTGTTGTTGTTTTTTTTTAAGCTGCCATTCAAGCTCAGCTGGGATAAAGACCACATTTTCATGCCCATGTCAGGGATTATTCCTTAGAGTTTTACATCTATTGATTGAGAGGCAGAAGAATACAGTGTTTAAGAGCATGAGCTTCGATCTCAGACTGCCTGGATTGAGTTTAAGCTCTGCCTCTGCATTAACTCACTGCATGGGGTGGCCTTCCATCAGTTACTTAATCTCTCTGTGACTCAATTCTTATATATAAAATGGGATAACTCTAGCTATGATGGGTCAAAATGAGTTAATGTCTAGGAACTGTTGGTAGCACATTATAGGTATACAGTAAATGTTAGGTGCTCTTATTATTAAGTAATTCATTAATACATCACACATATCTTGCTGAATGATTGTTTTAATCCAGGTGCTGTTCTTGGTTAAGGGGATTTCTTCTAATATCAATCTAATGTCTCTGCTCCATTTGTTGAAAAGCAGTGTGCGAAGTCACATGCCATCTCAGTGTAACTGACTTACCCATATTTGTCAGCCAGTTCCCGAGCTTGCCGTTCATTGACTTCCCTCTGGTCTGGTAGGTCTGCCTTGTTGCCAATTAATACTATATCTGGATTTTCACAATAAGCATTTGCTTGCAGTTGGCCTTGCAAAGAAAGCAGATGGAACCAGCAAGTTATTGATAAATAAGTGATGTGAAATGACTGCTCATATTCCAGATTCCTGATCTAATTGTTCATCTCCAGTGTGGTTGCTCACTAGTTATATTAGCCAAGTTACTTCCTCTTCCCAGTCACAATGTGCTTATCTATTAAATGGAGATAAGATCCTACAAATTGCAGAATATGAAGGGGACTAATAATATATATGAAACACCTGTATTAATACCCAACATTTAGTAAATGTTAGGTGCTTTTATTATTAAGTAATTCATTAAAACATCACATGTGTTCCTTTAGAAGATCTTTTTAATCCATGTGCTGTTCTTGCTTAAGGAGATTTCTTCCAATAATATATATGAAGCACCTGTGTCAATATCAAACATTTAGTAAATGTTAGGTGCTTTTATTATTAAGTAATTCATTAAAACATCACATATATTCCTCTGGAAGATCTTTTCAATCCATGTGCTATTCTTGGTTAAGGGGATTTCTTCTAATAATATATATCAAGTTGCTAGTACATAGTAAGTATTCAGTAAATATGGAATACATCTGGGAGATGCTCTCTGAAATGGCCATAACCACTTCACACCATTTGTTCCTGAAATATAGGTGGAGGTAAATAGAACATGATTTTTAAGTGGATAAATTTGCTTTTTCCTTTAGGAAGTTGCTACTTTTCCTTTCCCTAATCTTTGAAGTGATGATTTATAGTGTGGAACATTTTTTAATCACTACAAATTCATGTAGAAACAATTTTAAGACAAGTAACTTGTTTTTCTCTTTTCTCCAAAAACATTATATGTTGGGGGGAGGGGTGAGGAGAGAGAGAGAGAAAAGAAGGAAGGAAGGAAGGAAGGAAGGAAGGAAGGAAGGAAGGAAGGAAGGGAGGGAGGGAGGGAGGGAGGAAGGAAGGGAGGAAGGGAGGAGGGAGGAAAGAGGGAGGGAGGGAGGGAGGAAGGGAGGGAGGGAAGAAACTTTAGTGAAGTTAAAGATGTGCTGAGATTCACTTCAATATGAGCAATGGGCAAAACCAGAGACTACATACAGGGAGGGAATGGAGGGAGAAAGGGAGGGAAGGGTGGGGAGGGGAGGGAAGGGCAGGTCAGGGAAGGAAGTGAATAGTAAGAAAAAAAAGGAAAAAAATATAAGAAACCTGTCAAGCTGTGTTTTCGAGGTTACAGAGGCTGCTCTAATGTCTATCATAAGGCAAGCTGTGTGCTACCTTGCCGAGACCAAAGGAAGAAGACAAAGAAAGGCTTACTCTGTAACACCAATCACTTGGGTGTTAAAATTAAAGTGTTATTAGGCATGACAATTAATTATCTTAAATCCCAGCAATATCCTTCTGGAGATGTTTAAAAACAAGGGAGACTCTCATCTGCCTTGAAAAAGGATAAACAAACCATTCTCTGAAAGAATTTAATAAGCTTATTATCTCCTTGTCTCCTCAGAATCTAATGCTACCACCAAAATTTGGGTAACGAAATACAGTATTAAATGGAAATAAAGGACAGATCCTAAGATAAACATTCGTTTGGAGAGGCAATTATGAAAGTCAGAATTTGTTTCCCCATTGGTTACAAGGTTATTGAACCCACACTGAGAGTGGTTCTATATAATTATTATATAGAATAGTGAATTATATACAAAATATATTATCAATTTTGTATAATATGTAGTGATAAGAAATGTATCTATTTTGAGCATCTACTCTGTGCCAGGCACTCACCCAGGTGTGGCATATTGCATTGAAATAAAATGGAAAAGTCTGCACTTTCATAAGAGCTTACATTCTAGTAGTAGAAAGCGTCAAAAACACAAGTAAGCCAAAATTACATCACATCATGTCAGGTGATGACTGGGACTGAATGAACTCTAAAACGTGTTGAGGGGATATAGAGTGATGAGTACTATCTCTGATGGGGTGGTCAGTCAAGAGACAAATACAGTGTGAGTAAAACTTGGAGTGTAGAAATGGTATGGTTTGGAGCCATGTCTCACGTTGAAATGTAATCCCCATTGTTCAAGGTGGGGCCTAGTGGGAGGCAACTGGATCGTTGGGGAGGATTTTTCATAAATGGTCTAGCACCATCCCCTGGTGCTGTTCTCATGATAGTGAGTTCTCATGAGGTCTGGTTATTTAGAAGTGTGTGGCACATCCCCTTTTGCTCACTTGGTGCTCCTGCCATGTCAGATGTGCCTGCTTCCCCTTCAGCTTCCATCATGATTGTAAGTTTCCTGAGGCCTCCCCAGAAGCCAAGTAGATGCCAGCAACATGTCTCCCATACAGCCTGCAGAACTGTGAGCCAGTTCAACCCCTTTTCTTTGTAAATTACCCAGTCTCAGGAATTTTTTTTACAGCAAGGCAAGAATGAACTAACACAAAAAGTAAACCAAAAAATACATAACACATTATCAGGTGATGGCCATGAGCTATAAAGTGTGTTGAGGCGATACAGAGTGATGAGTACTACTTTAGATGGGGTGGTCAGTCAAGAAATAAATAAGGTTTGGCCAGAACTTGAAGGGAATGAAGAAACTAGCACAGGGCTATAAATGGGAGAAGAGGAAACAAGATAAAGAGAATGGCAGGCTTTTCATATTAGGAATAGCACGGGACCCAGTTTGGCTGAAGTCTAGTGAGCTTGGCCCGAGTAAGAGGGAACTAGGGAGGAAGCCCAGACATCATCACAGTGACCTTGCAGGTAAGTGAAGGACTCTGGATTTTATTCCGGGTAAGATGGAAAGTTACAGAAGGACTTTGAGCAGGAGAAAAACATGATCTAGTTTTTAAAAAATACAACTCTAGCTACAGATGGCCCAGACAAATCTGGAAATAAGAGCAGCCCCATAGGACAACTCAGCTGTCCTGCTACTTGTATATTCTGCTAGAATCAAAATTCTTATTTGTAATAAAAAATGCAAATGAAATATGCCCTTTATTACTACATCAAGTAAAACATAAAGGAAAATTCCAATACTTCTCTCCTGTGTTGATGTATGTCAATATGACTTTAGTAATTTATTAGGCAACATTTCAATTTGTATTACATCGAAGTTTCCACAGAGGCTGGAGATTTGTCTTTACACGGTTTCCTCACATTTGAACCATTTTTTAAAAGTAAAATTCCCAAGCAAGCTGACTGACCAACACACGTGCAGTGCCTCACCTTATCATTATGCGACTGGTCTGCTCTGGTTTCATGCCTAATTAACCCACTAGTGTTTAACACACCTTAAGTGCCAGTGTCCCCTCAGAAAATACTGCCAATTTTCCCTGTGATCTCTCCAGGTCAAATGTAGTAGCTCACTTAGGTTTAAGAAGTCCTTCAAGATTTACTGGAAAAGTGGAATTAATGGCCTTTCAATGACAATAATAAAGATCTTAAATACAAGTGGTGATAAAGCAACATACACTTCCTCTAAAAATATCAAAGGAAAATACAATTCCAAGCTACCTAGGGTGGTTCACATAAAGGCTACCACTTTGAAGGTGACGCAGTGACACAGGCAACACTAAACTCATGACTTTGAAAGTTCATCTGTGGTACCCAATCTGGTTTCATCTTGTAAGACCAACAAGCACCTAGGGCAGTTGGGTCCCAAAGCAGCCAATGCACATTACTCAGTCCCACTTACTCATCCAGTTTCTGACGTTTAAGAAGCTCTGTTGACTAGTGAGGTCAAACATTAATAAGAAGCCCATGGCGTCTCTGAAAAATGCAGTGGTGAGACTCCGGAACCTGCCGAGGAAACACAGTGGGTAGTTCTGAAAGTTAGTCCACATAACTTTGACAACAACACAAACAACAGTTTCCCTTTCAGGCATGAATTCTCTGTGGCTAGCCCTTATGGAATATCCTAGGGGAATGGGAATGTGGGCAGAGAGACTGCTGAAGAACGAAGGGAGAAGATTTGGTTGTACATTTTTTTCTAAGACCACTTCCTGCCTTTCTGATCTCACAGCACTTTATACACACAGTTTGTAACATTTAATCACAGATTTGCTTACACAGCTTCTTGGAATCTTTTCGGCTCGTGGGCATTTTGTGGTCCACAATTAAAACGTAAAGCACTTTAGAGTGGGGACTTTAACTTATACTTTCCATCTTTCTTTTCTGTGCCCAGAAGAAAGCTTGGCACACAGTAGCCTGAAAATGAATGCCTGTGATGATATGAAGGAAACTGCAACTTGTTAGCTACAGGAACTGGAATTCTTTTGTAAGGAAAAATATTGATGACAAAACTCTTTTTAAAAAGCACTGTTTGGGGATAAAACTGAGCTTCAGGTTGGCATCTAGGATTCATGAGGAAAAGGAAGATGATTGAGGGACGGAGTGGATGTCAGGACAGAAAAGAGACATAGTCATTGGTGAAAGGAGGAAAGAACTCTCATTTCTAATCAGGATTTTGGAGAATTTGCTCTTTTGTGTGCAATGCAGTTTTTCCCTGCCTGGTCAGCTTTCCATGCCCCCACCCCCGACCCCAGTCACCACCAACCATCTTTAGTGAAGTTAAAGATGTGCTGAGATTCACTTCAATATGAGCAATGGGTAAAACCAGAGACCACATACAGGGACCAGAGAAGGTTTTGAATTTGGCAATGGGATTTTAGAAAGGCACACAACTTTGAACTAGAGATATGCTTCCTGTCCTAAATGTTCTTCTAATTTTTGGTCTCCTATTTTAGCTAATTTGTAGATCCTTTGTGTTGGTTTCCTCCGAGGTCTACTGTTGACCCCTCTTACTCTACATACATTGACTGGAAAATCTTATCCCCTTCCCTGGCTCACTTGTAGCCTATATGTTGAGAAGCCCAAAATTAGAGATCTACAGGTTTCCTGCCTTTCACATTAGATGCCTAATTACTTGTTGGATATTTCCCCCTGGAGGAAACTCAGGCACCTCCAACTTCATACATCCAAAACCAAACTGGCCACCCTTCCTAATTTCTTTTTCCATTTATACATCACCATCCTTCTGGTTGCCACGATGTCTGGTTGTCACCTGATGTCTACAGTTAACACATATCTTTTGACCTGCTCATTTCTGTCCATCTACCCTACCACTGCTCTATATTCAAACCCATTCTCTCTCACCTGGACAACTTCAACAGCTTTCTCATTAGGCTTCCTGTGTCCAGTTTTGTTTGGGACCCTACTCCTATCACCATTCCATTTCTTCCCATAGATTATATCAATGCTCTACTAATGATATTTTTAATGATTAGACATCGCTTGTAAGCTAATGCACAAACTCCTTACAAAGCTGGCAAGGCTCTGCAGGAAGTGATCTTTGTCCATCTATCCAGCTTCATCCCTTTGACTACCCACAGACATGCTGATCTTTTAGTTCTTAGAAACTTCACTCTGCTCCCCTGAGCTTTCACATATGCTGGTCTTTCTGTGGGTTACCTTGTCTTAGTGCTTCCTTTTCTTCCTACCACTTTGTTGAGCCTGGATTGTACTCACTCATACATTGTGCATGAGTACATAGATAATGGTATCAGAGGAAATATCACTTTCCCAAGGGGCCTTCCCTACACTGCATGTGGGCTATGCGCTCCCCCTGGTGGGCCTGCCTATGTCTTTGTTTTCCTGTTACTTTCCTAAGGCTCCATTGCAATTGTTTATTCATCCAAATTCTATCCTAGACTGTAAGCTCCAACGGTAAGGGAGCTGTGTTTCTAACTTGCTATCCATCGTATTTTCATGGCTCAGAACATGGTATTTGCTCACTAAATATTTGTGAAGTTAAACAGTGCAAGAGAAAGAAAGAAACAGTAAAATATATGCAATTATTAAATATGTAAATGACTGCAACAGAGAATGATACTTTTCATATGAAAAGATGGGAGAAGAGATATTTTCACTGCTATTTATTTCCAAAGTAGGATTTGTTTGTAGGGCATCATCATGATCTAAAAATGTAGAGCAGAAATACCAAAAAAATTTATTCACTTTTTTCTTGTGGATTTGTTTCTACCATTCCTTGGAATCCCACAGAGATTATAGTGCATTGATTGAATAGTTATCCCTCTTTGGAGACTAGCTGTACCCACAAAATTGTCTCCTACTCGACCATAATTGTGTCATGCCAGGAAAACTGCTCTTTGTTCTCTCCTTAAGTGTGTGTGTCTCATTTGAGGACAAGACTTTGTGTTATTTCCTCTCATTGCCCGGAGCATATGACAAAGTTACTGAAAAACGTGCTTGCCATAGTGATCTGATTGGGGCAAACAATTTCTCCTCCATAGCAGCATGGATAGGACATGCTTATTTCAGAGGAGTAACAGACATCCTGCTCTATTCTGTCCAGTATCTTTGATATCCCCCATTTCCCCCACGAGGAGACTAGTAATTCCTTTCTAGCCTCCCCCACCCATCTCATTCTGTCTATTAAGTCAGCAGGGTGGAGGAACCAGTGAAACCATGTTCCAAAGAGTTAAAGAAACCAATGATGAATAGGAATTGAGTTTGCAGGATGGCAGATAAAGAAGGAAATAACTTGCTGAAACACTAAAACTCCCTCTGCTTATGAGATAAGTGAACTGGCTGAAATCGACTGGAACTGATATGGCCGACTGGAATCTGTACAGAACGAGCTTGCTAATGTCACAGCCTGAATTTCTATCACATGTTTCATACTAACTCCCCTTGAATTTCCACCCGTGACCCCTGTGATAGAATGCAGAGATAAGTGCCCACGTCCAAGGACTTTCCAGCCCTCCCCTTTCCTTCCACGAATCACCTGTTAATCTCAGAACCCATTCCTTCCCCAGCCTTTTCTAATAAAAATACTCTTCAGAAAGCCAGAACAAAAAGACAGATTTGAGCTTGACCCTCCTGTCTCCCTGCAAGTCGATTTGCAATAAAACCTTTCCTTTTCTCAAAATTCAGTGTCATAGTATTGGCTTCCAGCACGTTGAGTGATGACCCCCTTTTGCTCCAGAACACTAGGATCACAGAAGAAACAGACCCCAAAGCCACATTATCACTCTTCCTCCTCACTGGGAATGAAGTCTGTGCCCTGTATCCTTTAAGTTTCCGTAAGGGCCATGCGTTTTCTCTTCCTTCCCATGATGTGACTTCTATCAATACCCATTATCTTACATGGATTGCACAGCCAGATGTCCTTAGGCACGGGGCTGAGGTGTGAGGCTTTGTTTATCTTGCTTAGCTACACCTTATATATACACAGAATGCAAAATTCTCAGGGGATGAATAACCTAAGTGTTCCAAAGGCTGCCCTGAGTATTTCCCATTTCCCCCCTAGAGCAGCTGCCTTCAGGGGACAGACAGAGAAGGCTGCCATCATGCAAGGCTGACATATCATGTGCGAGGACATATGGGAACCACATTTTCTCATATTACTTCAAAAATGAATTAAAGTGCTCTATAAAACATACATCTTTGTGACAACAAAACTGACATATGAACAGAGATTCTTGTGAGGAATGGCTTCAGAGGAACCAGCAGTGTTGAAGGGTGTGTGTAAATGGAATTCACAGTCAAAAAAGCTAACAGAGAGGGCCCAGCACCTCTCCTGGCGTTTACACTCACTGAAAGCGAGAACGCTTTGGATGCATTTCAAAGACGGAAGTGTTTACAAGCAGAAGCATTCTAAGACATACGATGCAGGATTTGGAGGTATGTGCCTTCTAAATATCCTCTCTGCCAATTTTTTGCCACTTTTAATTTAATCTAATATTGAAAAGATTCATTAGCTTGGGGTCTTTTGCACTTTGAAATCTTGGATCTTTTTTTTTTTTTTCCATCTGACAATAGAATAGTACCTCCAGCTCTAAAGAATTAACACTACCGAGTATTAGCTTGGACACTGTAACAGAGACAATGCTGCAAAGCCAGGCAAGATCTCCACACCTGCAAAGATGACAATTTCGTAGGGGTGAGAAGGCTCCAAGTGAATCAGTGAACAACAGTTAAAGACAGAAATAGAATGTTCACTTTATGACAAGGTGGCATATAATTATTTTAGACCTTAAGGGTGAAGTAACTGGTGTCTGCAGTAGTTCAGAGGAAAAGTGGGTTTGTTTCAGCTGGGATGTTCAGACAGGCTTCATAGAGGGGAGGAAATATGAGCTGGGCCTGGTACAAGGAGAGGATCAGAAAAAGTGGGAAAAGAGTAAAACATTCTAGCTGGAGGGCAATTGTTTATGATCAAAGTCTGAAAGGACAAAGCCAGTCGCACAGCATGGGACAAAGAGGCTGTGTTGAAATAACAGAAAGAGACAAGGAAGATCTTAACACCCTTTTTTCAACTCCCTCTTCAAGTAGCACTTATAATGGCGTTAATTTCCCATCTTCATTCAACTAAATTCCAGAGAACCTTTTTTTCTTCTAAAAAGTGCAAAGACAGTGCAGACCAAGAATCTTCAGAGAGATTTTTGAAAGTCTGATTTTTGAAATTCGTACCAACTGCACATGGCTACTGTGATTAATTTATTACAAATCATTTATTTTTCTTTCTGGATACAAATGTCTATTTTGAAACCAGGAGAAGAGTGGCATATTATTTCTTTTTCAAATTCACATACAGCATTCATTTTAAAGTAAGTTTTTCTAAGCTACAAATAAAGCAATTTACTATTACCGCTCTTGTCCCGCAGTGTCCCAAAGCTGAAGATGCACTTTAAATGCTTTCCCTGAAGATCCATTTGGTCCTTGTGCATTATAAACCTGAAAGACACAATGTTCATTAGTTGAGGTTGCTTTGGATTTTGTCAATACTCAAATTCTCTGGGTTCACTCAGCATGTTTTTTCTCAATTACTATAATCAAAGTTCATAGTGCAGAATAAATATTTGCTCTATATTTTTTTTCCAGAATTATCACATGTACTCTCACTTTTAAATGTCAAGTGCAAGTATGATTTTCAACACAGTTTAGGCATATTGCAAACTTAAATTAGACACCTTCTGTCATTTCCTCATGAGGCAGCAAACATCAGATTTAGGACCCAAGTTCTAGGTTCAAACACAAACTCTTCATTTAACCTCTTTGAGTCTTATTTTCTTATCTCTAAAATTGAGATCCATAACCCCTTCCTGATTTACAGAGTTACTTCAAACTGCAAACTTCAGTGAAATCACAGATGTTAAAGCATTTTTTTAAGAACAGTGAAGTGCTTTACAAATACCCGAATATCTTTTACTGTAAAATGGACTTTCAAAATGACTTAGCCATGAAATATGCACAGGATTTCTCAATAAGTTGACACAGGACATTGCAAGCCTTTCTTCCCTAGTCATTTAGTCAAAGGCTCTTTTTAGGTAAGTTTAATTTTTTTTAAAAATTCTGGCCTTTTTATTGTTTAAGCAAAGCCTAAAATACTTAATATTTACTCAGTTTCCTTAAGTATAGTTTAGTGAATATGTTTTAAAGGAAAATTTCTGCAAGGACATATACCCAGACACTGGAAAGGAGAGAAGGCAGAAAAATCCTGAATGGGTTGTCAGGGAGTTTGCTAAGCCTACACAACCATGTATTGACTTTCAGATCAGGTCCAGCACAATATAAGAAACCATGATTCAACTTCCCAGGCAATGGCTTCCAATTACCATTTCTTTTGTTTTCTTTCCCAATTCTCAAGGAATGAGTGGATTTGTGACATCAGCTGGAAGCCACAGCCATCTTGGCAATCAAGGATACCCAGGGTGGCAGTAAATCTGGCTGAGCTTCTGTGCCTATGCTACACATCTCACATGTCACAATATCCTTATTCCTGTCAATAGTGTCTAGCATAGGAGAAGGAAGTGGTTGTGATTCTCACTTAAACTCTCTTATCTTGGAAAATAGCATGATTGGTGTCTCACATTCTGTTCATAAGAAGCCAGTGATTGACGGCTGAGTCTACACATAAATAAAAATGCAGCAAGAACTTAGAAAAAGCTCATGTTCCAGATATTTGCCAATCATACTTTTAACTTCTTTCTTAAGAGTGGGGAAATGATCACTTGCTCTTATTGAGGACTTTAACTCAGGTCAGAGTTAATGTTTTTAGATTCTAATAATTCAAGTTTTGAAAGATTTCTTAAGAATTTGTAGAAAACACACTATACAAATCAGTAAAATATTGATTTGGATTGCCTTGTATACTTTGGGAGACAAGAGAGTGCCATTGAATACTTTTCTAGGAAAATGTTATTTATATTTGAAAAGTAGTAAATAATATTCTAAAATAAATTAAAATGACAGGTTATGAATCTCATGTGACAAAAGAGACTCCAGTGCAATAAACATAGCTTCTTCATTCTTATTTTATATAGGGGGATGAGTGACAAGGTTAGCAGGACGATTAAAAACTCACCACACGTTTTTCCCGAAAGTCTATTCCTACTGTAGTGATGAATTTGGGATTGAATTTATTGTCTGTGTATCTATAAAGAAATGTTGTCTTCCCCACCCCTGAATCTCCGAGGGCCAGGAGTTTGATCAGATAATCATAGTCTCCATCGGTCATAGTGATGGTCTTGGTCGGTCTGTATAGGAGAGGGAAAACAAGTATGTTTTGATTAAAGTTGATTTTCATTTGCTTTATATCAAAATACAACATAAATTTATTTTTCAGGGTTAAAAAGTTGAATACTTCTATTCTGCCATATTCAAAATTAACTTGATCAAAGCAGCTTTAGGGGTGAAGGCACATCTAGTATTTTACTCAGTACAAATATTTTTACATCATATCACCTCGTATGGAAAAATATGCAAAATATCAGTTGCCACAGTGTATTCGTCTGTTCTCATGCTGCTGTAACGAACTGCCTGAGGCTGGGTAGTTTATAAAGGAAAGAGGTTTGACTCACAGTTCAACATGGCTGGCGAGGCCTCAAGAAACTTACAATCATGGCAGAAGGAGTCTCTTCACAGGGTAGCAGGAGAGAGAATGAGAGCTGAGCAAAGGGGGAAGCCCCTTATGAAACCATCAGATCTTGTGAGATCTCACTATCATGAAAACAACATGAGCAGCATAAGGGTAACTGCCCCCAGAATTAAATTACCTCCCACTGGGTCCCTACCATGAAACATGGAGATTATGGTAACTACAATTCAAGATGACATTTGGGTAGGGACACAGCCAAACCATATCACACAGCAATAGTAGAACTTAAAGTAAAAAGCCATAGACTTGTGTTTTAAAACCAGTGCATTTGGGATTAGGAGGATGGTATTAGGAAGAGGAGAGAGTCACAGGGAACAGAAAACCCAGTTCAAGATGATGCAGATATCCTACAGAGAGACATCACTTATAGACAGATAATGGAAGAAAAAAGCAGAGGGATATGTTTTGCATCTATCCATGCAGGATGAGCCTTCTATATAATCTGTATACAAATCATTCCTTTTTAATTTAAAACATTTAACAACTGACATGACAAGCTTTAATCCTGTACTGGTAACACCGAGAATACCAGGACATATATTTGACTGACACAATTGCCTACTTGGTGAACTCTCCACTCTTGAGTTGAGCAAAATAATTTACTGCTCAGTACAACTTCCTGAATCATGGGCTATATTAATAGAAATGGGTCATATCTCATGTGAAGGAAGGCCTATGCAGATTTTTCTAGAATGCAAAGGTTTATCTCAGTATTATGTGAGAGGAAGGAAAACTTCCCCACTCCCGAAGATCCAGAAAACACTGTATTCTTTAAGCATTCTGGGATAATTAAAATTAAATTTCAACAACAGCCTATTCTATGGACATGATATGGTTAGAGTTTGTGTCCCTACCCAAATCTCATCCTGAATTGTAATCCCCATAATCCCCACATGTCAAGGGAGAGGCCAGGTGGAGGTAATTGAATCATGGGGGTGGTTTCCCCACGCTGTTCTCATGATAGTGAGTGAGTTCTCACAAGATCTGATGGCTTTATAAGGGGCTCTTCCCACTTTCGCTCTCTCTCTCTCTCCTGCTGCCTTGTGAAGAAGATGCCTAGCTTTCTCCTCTCCTTCCGCCATGATTGTAAGTTTCCTGAGGACTCCCCAGCCACGCTGAACTGTTAGTCAATTAAACCTCTTTCCTTTATAAATTGCCTAGTCTTGGGCAGTTCTTTACAGCAGTATGAAAATGGACTAATACAGGACATATCTAAAATTACTAGATAATTCTAATAAATATTTATGTGTAAAAAAAATTGGTACATGTACATGTTCAAAAAATTAAAACAATTTTTTTGTTTTTATATTGTTACTTTAGTCACCTATCAAAACTGAAAACTTTTATGTCTTTGGGTAAATAATGATGAAGAACAGAATGAGGTACTCATCAAATAATCCGGTATCATTATATCATTTGGAATATATGCATTGCTTTACATTATACTTTATTATGAATGTATGTTTCTTTCGTGAATTAATGCTTTTTGAGGTAGGATGTTTTTAAAGTTGCAAATTCATACTTTTACTCTAAAGCTTCCCTGCCGTATAACACACTTTCTTCACTAGTAGAGCTCTCTGGATGGATTTTTGCTGACCATCGGTGTTCTCTTTAAAAAAAGGAGAAAGAAAAAAAAAGATCTAGACAAAGAATAATCATTTCTTAGGAAGAGATCCACAGCACCCATCAAGACCAGTCTTCCTTAATAAAAGGATACATGTCTCAATTATTGCCATGAAGGATACACATGTCTCAATTATTCCAATATAGACATTGGAAAATGTCTATATTGTGTGACTGCATAGAATTGACTGGCATCGACCTTCCCTGGCTTAGGTGATCCTCCCAACTCAACCTTCCTGGTAGCTAGGACTACAAACACATGCATCCAAACCTGGTTATTTTTGTGCGTATTTTTTGTATAAATGGGGTTTCACCATGTTGTCCAGGCTGGTTTCAAACTCCTGGGCTCAAGTAATCCACCCTCTTCAGCTTCCCAAAGTGCTGGGAAGACATGAGCCACCACACCCAGCCTGGTAAAATATTTTACCAGGACTGTATCATTGAATAGGTTGCTGCTCTTATTCTTACTTGCTGCTCTTGGTCAACCCAAATGGGTAGCTAAAGGAGTTTTCTGCTGAAGTGGTATGATTTCCCCCCACACTTAAGGTCTGTTATCACCATCACTCTACCTTTTTCTCTCTTCCCCTAAACTTGCTCATGTAAAACTATTTTGGAGGGTGATAATGTTTGCATTTCACCAGTAGAACTGGATGAAACTGTTAATTTTCAGAAAAAAAGACAGTGCTTAAATTTATTCTAAGATATTAGTAACTAAAGCCAAATTCTTCCCTAGGCAAGAGCCTTAATTTTTTGAGCAGAGTTTTTGGGGTGGGGGTGTGAAATTGAAGACACTAGATTCTGTGGCTCCCTGAAAAAACGAAAAGAATGGAGTCAATAAGACACACCTACATACTTTAAAATTTTGCTTACAGTTAACTTTTTTTTTTTTTTTTGGCAAATGTGTGTGTATGCATGCGTGACAGTCTCAAGAAACGCTAAGTCATGAGCAAATCTAGTTAAATGTCTTCAATACATAGTGTTAGGCCCAAAGATGAAAACTTTAAAAATGGAAGTTCTAGTCTAGCTTCTGACAAGGCATGAATTTACTTAAAAGTGAAATAAGGATGTGAGAAAATACAACGTAATTTTGCAAGATAGAATGATTAATTGATAAATGAGTTAAATCCTGGTTGTGTTTTCAATTCAAACAAAACAGTGTCTTCATGGACTGCAGTGATCCAAGAAGACTGCAGAGGAAGGAAAATTTGCATTTAACCTTATAGCATGGAGGGGAATTAGACATGAGGAGAGGAGATACAGGACCATGGCATGAGAGATTACTTTCCACTTGTAGAATGAGAACACTACCACTTGCCAACTACATGACCTATCATGTTTTCCTGATTGGCAGGCAGACTGTTCTCTGTTGTTTGCACATAAACCTGCCTGGGGCAATACTGGTGCTACCTCCTAGTCAAAGTCTAATCCAGAGTGAACAATCCAGGCTAACACAAATCAGTTCCACTGTGACCCACACTGCCTCTTTGCTATAAGTGGGTGCTGGACACTTTGTGACATTTAACACAAATTCCACCTGAAATGAATGCAAAGCTTGGCACTGTGGAAAAATCTTTATTTTTCCATAGGCTATTTGACATATTAAGCTAGGTATGAGATAGTCCACTTCTAAGCTTCTTTCAAAAATGAATTTTACTTCTTATTTTTTATATCACTACTCTCCTCTCTCTCTATGTCTACCTCTCTCAACACACACACACAGACACACACACACAGACACACACACACAGTATTTGGCTCAGCTCCTCTTTTTATTATTATGTGATTTTTTTGAATCCTAAAATCATATAGCCTCAACATTCTATTGTTGGTTGTTGGCATGGCAAATAAACCATAAAAAAAAGTCTTGGCAAACTTTCCTAGAACTGGGCTAAAAAAATGATGTGGGAAGGATCAAAAGGCTGACAAGTTTAACCTTTTGTTTATTCCTGCACAGTGGCTGATGGTCTTGCTGGTTCTTGGTTCTGTGGATATAAAAGGGAAGAAAAGGTCAGAAGACTACAGTGTTTCAGGAAATGCATCTCACTCAGTCCTTATCATGGTGTCACAAGCTGTACCGCAAGAACCAGGAGGACTTTTAGATACAGAGGAGCACTTCATGGGAAGGCGAGGGGCTGAAAAGAGTAGGGAAAAGAACTGAAATGTATCACACCCATGAGGCTCTGTTTAATGAATAATTGTAAAGGTAAAAAGGAGCCCAAGTAATCAGGTGGTGTAGCCCCTCAATTTTTGGATGAGAAGTCACATGCAGAGAAGGAAAATCCAAGATTATTATTATAATTTGAAATACAAAGTGTGTTAGATAGGAACAAGGTAGGATTATTTTTATTTTATATAGAAAGGGAATTTTATCCTGGATATATGCAGAAACAGAATTTCCATAGCTAGAATATCTCAAACGAAGTCGCCCATGGATTCACTCTTACCCACTCTACCTCTCAGCTCCCCCTATTTTTGTTTAATGTAAGTTCCATTAGCACAGAAACTTGATCTCTTTTGTCTACTGCTGGATTCACAGAGCTCAGCTCAGTGGCTGTCATATAGAAGGAGCTCAATACATATTTGTTGAGTGTATAAATTTATTTAAGCTATCTGCAGCCATGCAAATGTCATGATTAATGAAATTAATCTCATGAGCCATTTGTGGAAGAGGTATGCATCCGAGTGCAAGGTCTTGGATTCTCCCTTCTTATCAGTGAGGTGAGTATTTAGATTAAAGGATCACTGTAGTGCTTTCCAGGTCTGGCTTCCTGAGCTCATTTTTGTTTTCTTTTCTTTTCTCTTCTTTCTTTCTTTCTTTTTTTTTTTTTTTAGACGGAGTTTCACTCTTGTTGCCCAGGCTGGAGTGCAATGGAGCCATCTCGGCTCACCGCAACCTCCGCCTCCCGGGTTCAAGCGATTCTCCTGTCTCAGCCTCCTGAGTAGCTGGGATTACAGGCATGTACCACCACGCCCAGC